TATTTATTTTGTTGCTCACCTTGTCCCAGCCTTGGCCATTGCCCCCGTGTGTCTCTGACATGGCTTCATCCTTTTGTCTTTGTTTGGCTTCGTTTTTGAGCACCTCCTTACTTTCTGGTACCACATGACTTTTCAGGTTCCTCTTGTATTTTTCCTAACCCAGCTTGATAATCAGCCATTTCTCCAAGGAGCCCTGGTTCCTTTGATGGGAGAAAGGTGTTTAGAAACCCAGGTCTGGGATCTGGGTACGTTTGTTTTGGTGGGGATGTCATTGCTTCCGGCTCCTCTCAGAGTCGGAGCTAAATAACACACGTATGTACATTATTAACCCATGTGTTCATACATCTCTATCATTGCTTTGCCTCTGTATTCATAAGCTAAACATTAGCACATATTGCTGTCTCTGACTCTCACCCAGTACCATAGAGCTTGTACTAGCCTTCCCTTCTTACTTATTTATAACTTTCCTGCTGGTCATAAGAAATCTTACTCCTACCATCCATTATTCATTTACTCACTTTTTCAGCCCCTGTATACGTTTAAAGTAGTTTCAGAATTATTAACCTGTATCTCCAGTACAGCTGTTTCCTTGGATATATGTTATTATTTCTCTTGAATAAATTCTGAAAAGTGCAAATGTTGATTATAAGAGGTGTTTGGCCAGCATGGTGGCACACACCTATAGTCCTAGCTACTCAGGAGGCTGATGCAGGAGGATTGCTTCAGCTAGGAGCTTGAGACCAGCTGGGCAACATAACAAGACCCTGTTTCTTAAATAAAATCGTTCTAAAAGAGATAGATGTATGATTAGTTTTATAGAAACACACCAGACCTTGACCCAAAGTAATTGTGCCATTTTTAAGGGTATCTTTGGTTAAATCAAATTTCTCTCAGGTTAAAACTCTTCAATGGACTCCCAGTTTAGTTAGAATTAAATCCAAACTCCTTAACTGGTCTACAAAGCCCTTTGTGATCTGACCGCTGCCTATTTTTCTCATCCCACCTCTTGTCATCTTTCCCTTCACTAACTATGTTTCAGCCACACTGGCTTTTCAAAATTGTTTTTCCAGAGCCTCAGAGACTGTTTGGGCATGGTCGTTCATGGCTGTAATCCCAGCACTTTGGAAGGCCAGGGTGGGTAAATCACTTGAAGCCAGGAGTTCAAGACCACCCTGGGCAACATGGCAAAACCTCACCTCTACTAAAAATACAACAATTAGCCAGGTATGCTGGCATGTGCCTGTAGTTACAGCTACTCGGGAGGTTGAAGTAGGAGGATCACTTGAGTTCAGGAGGCAGAGGTTGCAGTGAGCTAAGATCAGGCCACTGCACTCCAACCTGGGCAACAGAGTGAGACCCTGTCTCAAAAAAAAAAAAAAAAAAAAAAAGGAATGTCTTCAGATATGCTGGTCTTTCTTCCCAAAACATTCTCCTTCCCTAATGGCTAGTTCTATATTATTTTCAGGGCCTCATATTCTTCAGTTTGTATATAAAATCAGAGAGGCCTTCCCTGCCCATTTAATTCAATACAGTTTTTCCCAGTTATTTCCTCTCATGGCAACATTTCACATTTAGTAATTACCTTCAAACAACTTACCACAATTAGTAATTATGTTTCCATTTGCTTATTTTCTATCTTTTCTACTAGACTACAAGATCCATGACAGCAGGAAACATGCATTTAAACAAATGCTTTGCTTAAGCTTAGTGGCAAGAGGCATATGCCTTTGTTCACACTGTATTCAGAATCTAGAGTAATGCCTGGAACATAATAGCACTCAATAAAAATCTGTAGAGAGAACAGATATGACAAGCGAATGACAAGAGTTTTACATGTGTATGTAGTTATACCTGTCCGTCTTTTCTTTGGTGATTTTTATGTTTTATGCTACACTGAAGAAGGCCTTTCCCAGAAGATTATTTTAAAAGTCTCCAATAATTTATCCTAGTACTTTTATAATTACATATTCTACAGTGAAATTTGTCATGCACATGAAATGCATGTTTGTGTGAGAGAAGAAGCAGACTCATAACTCTTTACAAAACAAATAGCAATACAGCACTTATTAAATAGTTGATCTCTCTCCTTCGGTTGGAAATGCATCCTTTTTATATTAATTTCTCATATATGCAAAGATCTGCTTCTGGATGTCTCACATTTAACTGATTTATTTATTGTTAGAAAAGTGCCACACTGTTTTAAGTAGCATGGCTTTTTAGTATGGTAGGGCAAAATGCACTATCTCCACCATCACAACTATTCCGTCTAGTATCAAACACTTTCACTTCCAAATGAACTTTGGAATCAAGTTGTCAAGTGTATTTTAAAAGGGGCCCTAGGCATTTTCATTGAAATTTTCTTGAACATACAGAATAATTTAAGAACTGAAACTTTTATCATATTATCTTCCTACCCAGAAGTATTTAAATATCTCAATTTGTTCAGATCTTCTTTTATGTAAGTAATTCTCAATATAGTTGCACATGACCAGATTCAGAGCATTTCTATAACCCCAGAATTAGAAGAAACCTCCAAGATTGCCCCAACTACAAAATATGCATCAGCAACAGGTGGTGCTTTTATGCTTCCACTGATTAGGTACTCGCTACCTCCTGAGGAAACGCATTTTATCACTAGGGATAATGAAGGAGATAATGACTTGGATAATGAAATAAGTCTTATAGGGAAAATGTCAGAAGGGTCCTCTAATTGTCCTGTTTCACAATTTTCTCATCTACACAAAATGGTTTTTTATTGATGATTGTCTTGACCAGTATCTATAAAAATGTTTAAACATGTCCACTTCACAAGGCTACCCCACAACCAAATATCATGCAATATTTCTGAAATCATTGTTACTTTTTTCAGCGTTTTCATCATTGTTCCTGGCACATAGTAATCTCTTCATTACTACTCACTGAATTAATGAAAGGACATGGATTTTTTTTTTCTCCTAATAAGAGAGACAACTACATTTTTTAAAAAAAACATTTTATAATGCAGAGGTACAGTAAAGAACTCCATAATTACAGACTTCCAATATACTTTTCTGGGAAATACACATTCACAATTTGTTTTTGCCTGTAACAACCACTGCCTTGTAAAATAATAATATGTGATTTACATAATATTTTTAAGGATGTTTATGCATATTATGTAATGAACTTGGGTACAGGTGTGTATGCATGTGTGTGTGTGTATGCGTATGTGGGTACAGGTGTGTATGCATGTGTGTGTGTGTGCATATGTGGGTCCAGGTGTGTATGCGTGTGTGTGTGTGTGCGCGTATGTGTGTCTAATTAATTTCTGTAGATGAGTGACTTTAAATAAAAGCTAACAATTTTCTTTGACCATTTCCTACAACCTAAGACAAAGAAGAAAAGAAGGCTCTTTATATGAAAGTATTCTCACATATAGGTAAAATAGTCCTAAAAATCAAAAGAACTGGCTAAACCAATGCTTTAAGAGGCTGTGATATTCAGAGTTCCACACCTTTACTAGTGGAAAAACACACTTTACTGATTTTATTCATTTACTCTGATCCAGTAGATGGTGCTACATGTCTGTATATGTAAAGTACCACGGTGTCTTTTTTTTTCTCCTCTCTTTTTTTTTTTTCTTTTCTTTCTTTTTTCTTTTGAGCCAGAACCCTCATCAAGGTCTACTATTATAATGAAGAGCATTATTCCAAACATCTGAGCCAAATCTTTGGGTGCAGCTTTTAAGATGTACTTAAGAAGAAAACCCCCAAGAAATAATTTTGGACCAGATATCAACCTAACAATCTATTAACATTTTTTTCCCTTGGTTCATTTTTACTTTAAAATGACAAATCTTTGGCCCCACACAGAACTCTGTGTCAATCGATGAAAAACATCTAGATGCAAAATCACAGTCCCTCTTATTCTTCTAAACTTTGCTAGTTGCTATTGTTTTAAAGCAATCATAATAACAATAATAACTAGCAATAAAAGTTTAAATTCAGGATTGTAATGGATAAATCAGCTTGTTAATCAACTTATAAACTTAGGTATATAAAAATTTGTAAACACAAAGTTTTTTGTTGAATCAGTGATTGATCTAGTCATATAAATTAATGCTTCTTTATGAATCATAAAAAACAGAAAGCTTTAAAAAAGCAGGGATTGTATTTAAGTGTCAACACAAATAATCCATATCACCCAGCAACCTACAAACAATTAATTTATGATTCTTCTTATTTAAACACAACTAAACTTGACATATAATCAGAATCAACTTATGTATTTTTTGCCTCTTTTGAGTTTGAAAATTTATAATATGTTATTATCCTACATATTCAAAATGCTTTGAAAGTGTCATTGCATTGTAAATCAAGGATAAGGTAGACATCAACTATTAAAGATTAGAATATTTTCATTGCTGTATTAGTTTACCATATTAAATGTTGATTTAGTTCATTATGATATAATTTCATGAAATTCTTTCAAATTTTTTGAAAATTCTTTTACTCTTTTCATTGATTCAAAACTGAGAGAGCTATGGTCACTAATCAGTGCTATACTTGATACAGGTCTTCATAATCTGCTGACCCAAGGCTTAATAAAATGCCTTTAGTGGATGAACTATACCCCTTTAAGGGTTAAATTATAATGCAAGTACAGGAAAATCAGAAGTAACCTTTCAGATGACTATTTTATGGTTTCCTTTATTCATATCTCCATTAACTCTTTTTTTTTTTTTTTGAGACAGTCTCAGTCTGTCGCCCAAGCTGGAGTGCAGTGGCACAATCTCAGCTCAGTGCAACCTCCACCTCCCAGGCTCAAGTGATTCTCCTGCCTCAGCCTCCTGAGTAGCTGGGATTACAGGTGCATGCCCCCACGCCCAGATAATTTTTTATTTTAGTAGAGATGGGGTTTCACCATGTTGCCCAGGGTGGTTTCAAACTCCAGAGCTCAGGCAATCTGCCCCCCTCAGCCTCCCAAAGTGCTGGGATTACAGAACTCTTTTACCTACCTTTGAACAAATTCAAGGAGACAGGACAGAATTGGTTACTCCTAAGGATGTTATACAAAATAGAAAAGCACATGATCTTAATTGAGAGAATGACAATGAAATTCTATATCACTAAAATGATCAGTTATAATATAGGCAAGGTGGATAATATAAGTCAACTTAAATATTTCTTGGGAAATGAGGTCAGAGTGGGGCGCTGCTAACACCTGCTCTGTATAACTAACCGAACTAGAGGAAGTAACATTGACCCAATGACTGGATGAGCCATAAACGGATAGAACTTCCTAAGAGAAGTAGCTGTCAGATTCTTATTTCTTTGAGATATGATCATTGTCAGAGTAAAGTTCTTCATTCATAAACAATTATCCTTTCCTTGAGTTTACCATCAAGTGGAGACCTAACTACAGAAGGGACCTCCTATCTGGACTCCTGACCTCCATGATTGATCTCTCTAATATCATCTTCATACCTCTGCTGAAGTGGTTTTTCCAAACCTTTCATCTGAGTACATCACCCCTTCCCCATGAAAACATCTCCATGGCTCTCCGTGGCCCCACTAACGTGGCATATAAGACCTTCCTGAAGTGGCCCCTGCTCTTCCCCAGCCTTATCTTTCACTCGCCTGCACCTTAACACTACGGTTTCTAGTCCGACTTAGTGGGTTTTTCCCTCAAGTTCGCTCTCACCTCGGTCTTTCACACATCTGTCCCCTCTGCATGGGTGCTCTTCTCACATTCTCCCAGTTAATGCCAACCTTCTCTCACCTACACATGCTCCCCTAACACTGTATTTTTGCTATCATGGCACAGTCCTGCCTCTTTGAGTATGTTATCCTTTTTATTTCTCCAGGTCTTCTAGTACTTTAAAAGCAACGTAAGTCAGAGAGCATCCGCCTTATTTAGCACTGGCTCCCTAGCACTGGGTACACAGTAGACACTCATGTGTTCATTGTATTAATGGTCATTGAGCACCTAATATATGACACGCTCTCAGTAGACAGTGATGGGGACATGCACTGCAAACAAGAAATACTAGAATGTTGCCTTCCAGAACTTTCGCTAAATCAACTGGAGCAGACCAAGTGCACACGGTACAGCAAGGCTGTCAGGACTCACCAAGGCAAGCATTTCTGTGTCTCCAGCGGGGACGGCAGCAGAGGCAGAGGAGGCGCCCAGGAAGAAAAGGTTCTCACCTGAAACTTAAGATAGGGATACAAAGGTTCCCATAAAGAGTTGGGTGAAAGCGCATTCCAGGTGGTGCGGATAACAGTAAAAAGACAATGATGTAGAAAGTCCTGAGCTTGGCTGGGGGAGTATAAGGAACTACTCGTAATTAGTGGAGTGTAAGTAATTGTTTAACCACAAGTAGTTAAAGCACTGCTGGCCACAGGGTGACTTTTGTGGGGTAACATTTGCTTGGGAGAATGACATGAGATAAGGAAGGAAAAGTTGAAAGGTATCAGATCACAAAGAATGTTTTCTTGTAGACCATAGGCATACATTGAATAATTCTAAATGGGGGAGATGAGGGAAAACAAGGATATGAAATAGGGGAAGAGAAAAGAGGCAGAAGGTTAGACTTTGTGACTCTTTTAAAGCGGGGCCAGCCAGGAGGGTGACCTTCTCATTGTGTGGGAAATGTCAGGGACCAGGGCTTTGGGGTGGAAAGCCTAACCCTGAATCTGCCGGCCATATTGTGCCACAAGAAGCAGAGTTTTCACCTTATAAAGCGTAAATACATTTTTGCCTAACTTTTCAAATGCTTATATATTCTCCAACATTCCTAACTACCATACTCTTTAAGGCATCAGAGTATATATTAACACCTACAAGTACCTGTGTGTTATATATTAACACCTATGAGTACCTTTAAGGCACCAGAGTATGTACTAATACCTACGAGTACCTGTATGTTTGTAAACATCAGCAAATCCTCTGGGGTCCACAGAAGTCCAGGCCTCAGCACAGGAAATAAGGAAGGAAAGGGCAGGAATTCCAGGTACCGTGTCCTATGCTGCACTAGCTGTATAAGAAATATTGGCAATGGCTTTCTTGGCTGGCAGTGTGCTCTTCAAAATAACACTATCTTTCACGTACTTTCTTGCTCTTTCCTGAACTTTTTTCATGTTCTTTACAATAAGCATGAATTACTCTTATAATTAGAAGAAAAATACTTTCTAACAACAATAATATGCCCCCAAAAAAGATCCTTGGAGTAACAAGGAGTAGTGAAAACAGCAAACAAAAAAACATACCCACCGTGGAACTACTGTACAGAAAAATGCAGGGTACAGATACAAGGAAACGTGTTTGTCACGAAACCGTACACACCATCCACGTGAACACAGCACAAAAACAAGGCTTCAGCCTGAACTTCCACGCTGCCAGACGGAAAAAGCACCCCTCTGCTGGGCTAAGACACTTGGCTTTCTTACAGCTAAGGCTTTAATTTAAGAGACACTGCAGAGAGGTGGCTGGCTTTGATTCTATGAGCTATTGCTCTCCACATAATATATGGGTAAGTTTACTCAGAGCACTTTTTATCAGCTGTCAATCTGTTTCTTAGCTTGTATCTGGCTACATTGCAGGTAGCAAAGGGGAAAGCAGGGATTATTCCACGGCTCTTGCCCTGGGGGAATTCATTGTTGCTTGTTACTTTGGTGAATTGTGTGTGGAAGTAATTGCTGTTCTTCTGCTATATTCTGTGGTTTTATTCACATAAATCCTATGTAAAACTCAATCTTTGTACAATCTTGTCAGTATATTCAAAAGTGGATGAACTGCCTGCATCCATGTACCCACATGGTTGGAAGAAGTTTTTTGAAAGACTGTCTTACAAATGCCATCCCATGTTGACACATCTGTGAAGTTATATTGACTCCTTCATCCTGGAATCTGGTTACTGCCTGCCCATGCCCTACCATGAGCTGAGAATTTTATACTATCAAATTTTTTCTTCTCTCCACTTTCAAAGCCAATTTCTTACTGTTCCCTTATCATCATCTTACTCCAAACTCCTTTATGAGTAAGTTCCTTAAGTTTCAATGAGGCTTTCTGAAGATACAAAGTATTCTATCCTTTCTTACTTTAACTCTGCCTCTCACTATGATTCACTGAGGGGTAGCTAGTAATGGTAGGGGAGAGAAAGAGGAAGAGAAAGAAACAGAAGGAGAGAGAGATGCACACATTAACCAACAGTTTTCTTTTATGAACAAGAAAATTGGCCATTTTCCTATTAGCATATGAGGAACCTAAGAATGTCTCTTGTTGTCAAGGCAACAGCTATTCCTTGGGTTGCTGCAACAGAAAAGAAACCAGAGCAATCTTTATAGGATCAAGTTTTTTTTATCGTCAAATCATAGAAAGGAACCTTGAGCATCTACCTAGCCTATTCTCCTATCTTTACTTAAGATCCACAAAAATAATGTGAAACCCATAGAAAAAAGCCCTATTTTATATGTTTCTGAAGATCTTGCATAGCTTTCCTTGTTAATCATTTGCAGTGTTTTTCACAGCATATTGCAAATAAAATCTTTTCTATTATTCTAACTTAACTCTTTCATGATACAGCTTAAAATTTTCTACAGTTCCATTCTCGGTAGAAAAAAAAAACATTGTACACTTTCCTTTATAAGAATCTTAGCCAAACTTGAGAAAAATAACAAAATTATCTGTCTTAAACTTTTCAATGAAAATGATGTTAGATCCTTTATCTTTCAAGCCGTTGGTGTTGTAAGTCTCCTCTGAGGAGTTCTATATTCTCTAGTTAAGGAATCCATCCATTCCTGCCTCTTAACTGTCATATAAAGGTGGCCAGTGGTACCCGAAAACAACACCACCACCTAGTTTCAGTCCGTCTACTCAAGTATCATTGGAAAATTTTATCGGTGGGATTCTGTTCGTCGTCCGATGGTTTTAGTTGCTGCTTTGCACTGAGCGGCTAATACAACTTTTGCTGACAGCTTTGGGCACAATCACTCGCTCCACATCTGGGACTTGGAAAACTGATTTTATTCAAAGGACTCTGGTCCATAGTCTATTATTTTTCCTTGTAAAATATTTTTCCTTGATTCTTTCTTTCAAGATGAAATTCCCCCCTTTCTGCACTCACACTGATGAGTTTAGTAACCATCCTTTCAGCTTCCCGTACACATTTCTGATGAACATATGCTGAGCATTAGACACAGGAAGGCATCCTGACATTTTATTTATTTATTTATTTATTTATTTATTTATTTATTTATTTATTTTGAGAAGGAGTTTCGCTCTTGTGACCCAAGCTGGAGTGTAATGGCGCAATCTCGGCTCACCACAACCTCTGCCTCCTGGGTTCAGGCAATTCTCCTGCCTCAGCCTCCCGAGTAGCTGGGACTGCAGGCACACGCCACCATGCCCAGCTAATTTTTTGTATTTTTAAGAGAGACGGGGTCTAACCATGTTGACCAAGATGGTCTCGAGCTCTTGACCTCATGATCCACCCGCCTTGGCCTCCCAAAGTGCTGGGATTACAGGCTTGAGCGACCGCGCCCGGCCCGCATCCTGACATTTTTTAAGGATATCCATATTGGCCGGTCAAGCAGAAAGTATTTATCATCCAGAACTAAATATTTCTTTTTATCTCACTTGATTTCCTGTGTAATTTTGATCTATTACCTTAGTGCTTCAGCCATAGATGCCGTATTTTCTGGTCTTCATTTTCCACATCTTTGAAATGAAGACACAGCAAACACGGACTAACAGCATTTATTGATCCCGTACTCTATACTGGGCACTTTGTAAAGCCCTTTATATCATCTCATTTTGGCTACACAATAATCCTATGAGGTAGATATTTATTGTCGTCACCATTTTACTAAAAAAGAAAACAGAAGTTTAGCACGGTCAAACAGCGCTCCCAGATAACACAGCTACTGCGTGGTTGAGCCAGATTTTCAGATAAGGTGGTTTGATCTCTCATCCTCATAACCACTATTCCATGGGGGCAGGAAAATGAGCACCTTTCACTTACATGCTGCTGTAGGGAATAACTATTGGTAGACCCTTTCTGGAAGTTAATTTGGTTATATGTTATCAAAGTCTTTTAAAAGATGCATATCCTGGGCCGGGCGCAGTTGCTCACACCTGTAATCCCAATACTTTGGGAGCATGAGGCAGGTGGATCACGAGGTCAAGAGATCAAGACCATCCTGGTCAACATGGTGAAACCCCGTCTCTACTAAAAATACAAAAATTAGCTGGGCGTGGTGGCACGTGCCTGTAATCCCAGCTACTCAGGAGGCTGAGGCAGGAGAATTGCCTGATCCCAGGAGGCGGAGGTTGCAGTGAGCCGAGATCGCACCATTGCACTCCAGCCTGGGTAACAAGAGCGAAACTCCGACTTAAAAAAAAATGCATATCCTTTGCTCCAGTACTTACTTTTTTATTTTACAAATATCTGTGTTTGCAGTGTGCCAGTCACTGCTCTAAGTGTTTTTCGTATATTAAAAAACAAAATGATGACCACACTCTGAGGTAGGTACTAATAACTTTATTTTGTAGAAAAGGAATTGAGGCACTTAGAAGCTAAATAATTTTCCCAAAATGTCACAGTTCTTAAGGTGTGAAGCTGAGTTGTAGCTACAGAATTTATGTCCTCAATCACTGCACTATCCAGTAGTTTTAATTTTAGAAATCAATGCTTGAGAAGTTACTATGTATATGCACAAGATGCTATCGTTATAGCTCTGTTCGTATAATAAAAATTGGAAAGAAAGGTTGTGAATTCTTATGGCACTCTGTAACAAATACTTTGTTGTAGAGGAAGCAAGTACTGTATTAACGTCATGTATATGATATATTGATAATAAAAGACTAAATAAAATATTATAACATATCTAACTTTTATTTTAAAAGTAGGCATATACAGGCACAGAAATGAACTAGAAGAATATACAAATAAACTAGAGGAAAAACAAAAAATAAACAGTGGTCTTCGGGTGATGAGGTGACAGGTGGTTTTTTTATTGAATATATATATACTTTTTCAAATAATGAAAATATATTTCCAAGTAGCAAATCTTAATTTAAAAGTAATCTAAGGAGGTTGTAATGGAATATGTCTGGGGTCTTTTAGACAGTGGGGTGATGCTTACGTTGTATATTTATAGGAACAGCCATGCTTTAACAAACTTTAACTGGAAGTCTAATCTCCCTGGTCAACCCTTTGTTGATATCATGCTGGCAAACAAGAAGGATTACTTGGTTTGTTTTAATGCTGATTTGATGTGATCTGAGTAACTCCTACTGAGAATTTGGAAAATCTTGCCCCAGATCAATCAAAATGACAAGCCATTTAACTCCTTTTGCTACATCTCTGCATTCTGTTGATGGTGTTAGTGACTTTAAGATAGAATAATGGTTCAGTGCCAAGTTCCAGGCATCAGTCCTCTTTGGTTTCGTTCCCAAATCCACCACTTCGTTTATGACCTTGAAGTCTATAGGCCTTATTTTCCTCATCAGTATATAGGGTTTTAGAGATAATTAACTGAGATAACATATGTAAAACACCACTATGTAGGGCACATAGTAATTATTCAGTAGGTGATAGATATTTATTTTTATTAGTAGCCCTTGTTATTGTTCAATGCTCATTTTTTAAAGTGCATGTGAAGCACAGTAGGTCACCTCTGTAATCCCAGCACTTTGGGAGGCCAAGGTGGGAGGATAGCTTTAGGCCAGGAGTTCAAGACCAGCCTAAGCACATAGCTAGACCCTGTCTCTATAAAAAAAAATAAGAAAACAAGTTGGTCATAGTGGCACACAACTGTAGTTCCAGCTACTTGGAAGACTGAGGTGGGAGGATCGCTCCAGGAGTTTGCGGCTACAGTGAATGGTGATTGTGCCACTGCATTCCAGCCTGGGTGACAGAGAGAGACCTTAGCTCTTAAAAAAAGAATGTGGCCAGGCATGGTGGCTCATGCTTGTAATCCCAGCACTTTGGGTGGCCGAGGTGCGTAGATCACCTGAGGTCAGTAGTTTGAGACCAG